CTAGTCCTTACATAAGATGCAGTTTTTTCATCAGTTTATTTAAAGTGTTGGAATTATGGGTATGGAACAGGGATAGGCAAACATTGGTCCTCCTGCTGTGTTGACACTACAAATCCCATTAGGCATTGCAGGACTCTGACAGCCACAGGCATAACTCCCGGGGGCAGATTTATGATGGGATTTGCAGTTTCACCACAACTGGAGGGCCAAACCTTTCTTACCCCTGGTATAGAGGATTTGAAAGGGCAATTGTTTGTGATACACAGTGTCAGCCACAGGCATGACTCCCAGCAGCAGATGCATGATGGAATTTGCAGTTTAATCACAGCTGGTGGGCCAACATTTGCTACCCATGCTATAGAGGATTGAAAAGGGCAATTTAATTAGCATCTACATTTCAGTCAAGTACCATGCTCATTCTAAACTCCCATCATATAAAATGCATTTATTAAATCAATACTTGTTTTAAACCTTTTACATCCTTTATTGCATCACAGTACTTCCAATCTCCTGCAGCCTCTTTGCAGCCAAATTCTGTCTGCATGCTTGTGCTCCACCAATGGCTGCATGGCATTTCTCAGGGCCCAACTTGCAGTCTCTATCGGAAGTGGGACAGCCAGAGTGACAATGCAAGAGCACAATTGAAAGGCAGGGGCAGAGAGTTGTCACCCTATAACAGAAATTCACAAAATAAGAACCTTCATGGCAGGGTCACTAGATATTATTTACATTTTTTTTATTTTTTTTAAATATGGAAAATAACTTGAAATTTCAGCAACGTGTAAAAGCGTATATGAGATTTTAGTAGTTGGTCACTTATCTTTAAAGCAAAATTCTAGGCAGATATAAAATACACACATTGATGCAGCTCTCTGTTTATTAATGCAATATTAAATGTGTTGTCTTGCAGTAGGGAAAGTGAAAATAATTTGGGGTGCATCACTAGAGGGATCACCAGCAGGAGGAAGGAGGTCCTGATTCCTCTATATAGATCTTTAGTTATCACTAGAGGGGTCACCAGCAGGAGGAAGGAGGTCCTGATTCCTCTATATAGATATTTAGTTATCACTAGAGGGGTCACCAGCAGGAGGAAGGAGGTCCTGATTCCTATATATAGATCTTTAGTTATCACTAGAGGGGTCACCAGCAGGAGGAAGGAGGTCCTGATTCCTCTATATAGACCTTTAGTTATCACTAGAGGGACCACTAGCAGAAAGAAGGAGATCCCGAAATTGTCCTGCAAAAGAGAACTTTTATACTCAGCTCTCCATCAGTCCATTTTTCCTGCCTACCCTCCACTCACTGCAGCCTACTTCAGTCCCTTTACATACGACAATTCAAGGAGTGTCAGAAGCCTTTACTTCCTATTATGGACTGTGGTTTCATCCACCAACCCCTGCATCACTACAATACTGAGCAGTGATATAGAGTTTGGAGTATGGAACCCCAGTACACGTGTGGGGGGACATAGACATCTGACACACCTGGAAATGTAAAATACCAAAGAGTCTTGATTCTTTTCAAGTTCGATACAGGACGCATTCCCCCAGTGGTACCTCCTCCCCCTGAAGGGCCCCTATATTTTTTGTTTGTTTGTTTCATTCATACTTATTTTTTTCCAGAGTGTTCAGGCTTTGGAAAAACGTAATCTGTAGGTTTCTATTCTTCTTACAATCACTTCCCTTCTTGTGGGTGGTCCTGGGTGATGTAAAGTGCAATACTGATAACGTCAGTACCGTTTTCTGCATCATTATACTGTACTGTGAATAAAAGGAGCAATTGTGATGCCCCATTAGGGGGCAAGCCCATGACAGTCTGCATTCACAGTATATCTCCAGTCTTTTGGGCTGAGCGATAATGGGTGGCATCTCTGGATGACAGGTGAGTATTAGGGCCTGAGCTTTTTTTTAAATACCTGCTGAGGCTCTTTTTTATTGCAATAAATGAGATAAGATTTAAGTGACTGACAGGGACACTTTATGATGCACACTAGGGATAAGCTTCAAGTTCCGGTTGACAGAAAGTTTGACTACCGTATATACTCGAGTATAAGCCGAGTTTTTCAGCCCATTTTTTGTGCTGAAAAATGCCCCCCTCGGCTTATACTCGAGTCAGCGTCTCGAGCACTGAGGAAAGTGAGTATGCTGGTCAGGTTTCTTCTCACTTACCTCGCCGAGCGTCGCGTCACTGCCGCTCCGGTGGGCGGCGCTCCGAGCGGGGTCATCTGGCAGTCTCCGGGTCCTAATTTAGGTGGCCGGAGACTGCCAGATGACCCTGCTAATGATTAAGCTTGGCTTCGCTTGTAAAAAGTGAAGGATTGTATGTACAGTATGTTCAGCAGTTGGTATCTCTGCATCTACTAATCATTTTCACATGTGCTGATTTTTTTTTTTATTACTGGAGATCTCTGTTTATGTATTTTTTCATCATATTCTAATTATTTATTGCCCAAGTTGTATTTTAGCAATCCTCTAGGCAGTCCTCATTGAATAAGTACAATGGTAGCCAGAAATTAAATATCACTTGTTCTCAATTGCTTCACTTATCCTTTATGTTTTGCCTGTCCTGATTCCCTTCCATCCCCCACTTTTAACCACTAGTGACTTATCCAGCATTGGTCATTACTCATTGTACATTACTTTTTGCGTTTCCTTCCTTCCTAATCCCTTGTTCCTCAGTGGTCATTCTTCATTACTTATCACTCACCACTCTTTCTTTGTCACGCATCCCAGATCAATCATTGTTTATCATTCACCATGCTCATCACTTGTAAAGCCACTCTGAAACCTTAATGTAACAACAGCTTCTTCAAGTTGCCAGCCACTGAATATCATTGTTCTCGTTCAGCAAATGTTTGATGTTTGAAATGCCGTGTCTTGTTTGGATGTTTGACAAATGATGCTATCCTAAAATATACACCTTAAATCTAATTTGCTAAACTAATAGAAGGAACACTGTCTCAGGCAGTTACATTATGTAAAGGTCAACGCATCACACTAAAGTACATCTAAACCTAATCACTAAAGTCTTATATGAAAATTATGTTGATGCAGTTCTAAAAGTCGTTTTACATTTTTTTAAATCTGTAGCTTTTATTAAAATAATACCTGGTGATTCTGCCATGAAGGTCCTTGTCCAGACACTTCCTGCTAGGAGGTGAAGGTTGTGCTCCTGTCTTGTCACATGCGCCCCTGCTTGATACTACAAGTGGTTATGATGACATACATTTTACAGTCATGGTCCACCATTATCACTATCAGGAAGCCAGTCACGAGCAATAGTGTGCAGCTGCTGCTGGAGAGCGTGCATGTAGTTGGAAATAGTGAGGTGTGGGTGTTGTCACAGCGCTAAAGGTAAAAAAATTTATATATTATAAATATGTGAATAAAAATATATGAATAAAAACCAGGGAATTGAGTGCTAATGTGTAACCATGAACCTCCTATAAACTATATTCCCCCGTAGAGTCCCAGGGTGAATTAATCAATGTGACAGGGTATGCAAACCACAAAGTGAAAGAATAACGTGTAACATTGGCTAAAACATGTAAACCAAACACTAAAAATATTAGAATTATCTTAAACACTAAAAATATTAAAATATCTCATAGGTGCGTGATATTGTGCAAATAACAAATAAAATAAAAAACAATGAAAAAAATCGGAAAAACAAAAAAATCAGTGGATCAAATACGTCAATCAAAAATGTATTGATTGACGTATTTGATCCACTGATTTTTTCGTTTTTCCGATTTTTTTCATTGTTTTTTATTTACCTTTAGCGCTGTGACAACACCCACACCTCAGCTTTATCACTTTTCATAGCAGCTTCAGGCTCACCACTGATAGTCTACTTTCCATAAGCGCAGATCTTTGTTGCAATCTAGATAGGAAATAGCTGGAGGAGATCATAAGCACAAAGATGCAACAAAATATGTAAAAATGGTGAAAGCGATATCTTAGAATGTGATACGCTGGGTGAATGCTGTTCAGATGGCATTCCATCCACTAGAGGTTCCTATGCTCCTTGGCTCCATCTTCTAGCAGCCCAGAGTATGGCTGGTTTGAAGTTTTATAAATTAATCAAGTCTCCTCTACAGAATTGCTATTTGAGGACGTACATTGGGTATGCAACCAGGTGCATGTCATGTGCAATGTATGCGTTCCTTGAACATGCGTTCGAGGGGGAATACAATTGTGCTAGATGTGAGCGAGTTGTCTGTTTGGAATCCCAGATTCTGGATATTAAACGTTTGAATTTTTATGTGTCTTGGAGCTAAATTATACTGTTATTTAAAAAAAAAAACCTGGTAGCTACTCTCTATCTATGAATACTCAAATGTTCTGGTGTCAAGTATCACCACTCCAGGTAATTATCTGTAAGGCCATGCTTCCAATTCCTGACCCACAGTGCTATGCTCTCACTCCAAGTCTAGGCCTCACCTCATAATCACTACAGCATAACCTTCTTTTAAGGAGCAGAGGTTTGGTATTGCAGATGTCATATCTTTGCATTGTTGTCAAGTCATAGTACTTATAGGCCAGTGCCTGCTGCCACAGGATAAGTAAGACAGCATGGAAACATACCATTTATGATTTGGATTTGCTCTGTTCTGTTTCTTCTCTGGTTACTGCTTGACATTTATAAGTAAATTCAGCAGCAGAATGCAACATGGGGCTCTGCAGTCAGGGTTGACTGATTGGGGAGTGGTACAGTCCAACGGGAGCTCTACTTAGAGAATGCTCTCCCCAGTCACTTCTTTGTGACAAAGAGCTCAGAGGCCATGCAAAGGAACATGATCATTGCCATATGCCAAGGGCAGCAAAGACAGAGCCCTGTCCCAAGTGTCTATTATATCTTGAAGAAGCTTAGCATAGGAAAGATCCCATACTACCGCTAAAGGGTGATGACATCTAAACCCGATCACAAGAACTGATCTGTAATCTGTTTTTAATGTATTTATGCATCTTTGCTGATATTGTTTTTTTTTTCTTTCACAGTGGGTTAGTGGTCATCCTTCTGCATTTGGATTTTCTCCATCTTCCAGTATAGAGATTATCCCTCTATTTCCACACGTTTACACATCCTCCATTCCTCCACATGCAGGAAAATGTTGGCTGGAAAAGAAAGTACCTAATTGCAAAGTGAGTATTACTGAGGTGTGAACAGCACTTGTGAATCTGATATGTATATAATTGATATGGAAAAAAACTTGTAGAGCCACATCTTACCAGGCAGCTGGAACTAGTTATAAGACTTATATTTGCACAGGCCTTTATATATGTGAGCTGACTGTTGCTTGGGGCTCCCTATCTCTGTGTCTCTCTGCTGTGGGAGCCTGCTGCTGGGTGAAAAGGCTGCATGCTATCCGAACATGAAAAGGGATGGCTGACTCTGTGTTTCGGGGAACCCTTTATGGAGCACCCTGTTAGTTCAGTTAGTGGCTCGATTGAGCAGATGTTTTGTTTGTTTATGCTTTGGACTTACTGTACAAAGCCCTCCTGCATTGAAACTGTGTATGTTGCCTTGCTAATACCAAATCAGGACAAACCTCCTTGGACTGTTCCTAGGTGTGCCTGTCTTTGCATGGTTTATACCAATTGCCTGCTAAGCCTGTGCTCCCTAATATATCTATGTATGGCTTCTGATCTGAAGAAGAGAGGTCAACTCTCGAAAGCTTGTCTTTTTTATATGTTTTGTTAGTCCAATAAGAAAAGT